GGAAAACAGACAATATCAGTGTAGAAAAAGAATGGCTGATGGGAACACAGTTATAAACTTCAAAAGAGAGAAAAATCAACCACAGAAGTTGATTTACATTGAAGAAGAGGAGGGAGAAAAAAAGAGATCTAAGGAAAAAAATTCAGACTTGAAAAATACATATCAATTTAAGAGAGTACATTGGTACTGTGGCTATGCTGTCTGTATGCTGTGGAATTTCTTTTTCGCTAGTGCAGTATCCAAAACTATCTTCCACTGTATTGCAATAATAAAAGACAGCAGAACTTAAAAATAAAGTAAGATGATCACATTAGTATCAATGTATCAATCACATAACGTAGCCAAAGAGAACGGGGGGCAGGGTCAAAGCCCCTAATCTCATTTTCATACAAGCACTCAGCGGCACCGAGCTCAGCGCAAAGGAGAGTTCACGCTAAAGGTCACCACGGTCACATACAAATGACAAATCACATTTCTATGAATTAACTGCAGCTATAACTACAAGTATTCAAGATTTCCTCTCTGAACTTTCTGTCTCTCCATCACCCCAGAAAAACAAGAAGCTACCTTAAGCATCATCAGTTTATATGCACAGTCTACCTTCTCCTTGACATTATTTGAAAGAAAAAATGGTTTTGTCAAAGGGGTTCCCTCCGCCTACACCCCCTAAGGAGAAAAAAGTCTAGAGAGAGAAAGAGGAATTTCTGGATCTTTGGATTTTTACCAACACATTGATCAAAAGTTCATGCTAAAAATCACCCTCTGCCTCTCCTGCTTCTGCCCTCAGCCTCTGCAAGGAGGAGATCTTACGTCATGTGTGTTCAGGGAGAGAGCGCTGCATGCTGTAAAGTAATGATGTATTTTACTGCACAAGTGTGCAGGGAAAGAAGGAGATGAATGCCCTGTTCAGGGTTTGCATTACTATGTACCATGGAGATGGCTCCTGAGCCCTGCTGCATCAGGGCTACCTAGGGATGGAAGGGCTGCCAGGCTGAGGGAACAGCATGTTGCCTTTGAGGGAGGCCCTTAAAAAGTTTTACTGGTCTTCTAGGGCTTGACTAATGCCTTCTCTTCCCTTGGTTTCATAAAGATTTCTAGACCATATCTGAGATTTGACCCTGAATATATGATATTATTCTTGCTGTGTAGTAAGCATCAGTGGTGTCAGGCGTGTAGAGGCAAATCTGCTCTTTGTTAGAGAGCTACATGCCAAAATGAGTTTGTAGAACACGCTACAAAAAGGATGAAATGCTGCTTACAATGCAAAACCCACTGTAATCTGCATATTGCTGCAATATTTATTATCAGCCAGAGCATATTATCTGAGATTAATAAATTATTCTTAGCCCATATTATGGTAAGGCATAGCAACTGCCATAAAGCAGCACTGTCACATAAAGAAATTTCACCAAAGTACCCTGCTTGAAATAATGACTTTGTTTATCTATAACTTTACATTATTGATTGAGTTTGCTGAACTGAAGAGGGACTATGAAGTCATTCCAAAAGAACTACTGAGAAGTCTGGAAGCACAGCCAATATAAAGCTAGCAGCAAGAAGGCAATTTCCCTGAGAAAAAAATAGTCATACTTGGTTATTTTACAAATATGCAAGCAAATTACATTCTGTTTAAGTAAATAAGAACTAATGCCAAACATGTGTCTCTTAGTGTCTGATTGTCACAATTTTTACTGGTAAGAATTTTTTTCTTGTAAGACTGTAGTGCACCTGAAACAAAGCAGCAACACAAGAGGATGCCTTCCAGTTTCAGAGGACGTGAAAAGCAAAGCTTTCATATAGGCATTCCAGACTGTCCTATGACCCAGCCATGTAAGGGTAATTTCCAAGACAACAACCTTAAAAACGGACATATTAAAAAAACAGTTCCTCCCCCAACACTGACTAGTTGATTTCCTTCAGCTTGTGGTTAAAACCTTGGCATTGCTAACCCCACCTGGCAGAGTTAGATCCAAGGGAAGATGTCGGAGCATTCAGTATTGTCCTGTCACTCCCAGCTTCTGGCGCGCTGACTCCCCAGTCAGGCGCCGTGGATTGCCTTACTCTCACCTCACACCAGAGATCTGCAGTGCTGACACGTGTCCCAGGCAGCTGTCTGCACCGCCTGCAGTCAATGGAGAGGAACAGGCACTCATGGGCTTGGGTCTCTCTTTCTCCCTAAATTAGACAGCTAGAATAGGTCAAAAGAATTACTGCCTGGACACAGCAACTGCTATCCAGCCCATATGCAGGGAGGCGAGATAACTAGCTCGGATGCAGATACTGATGTTGCAGATGTCTAACTACGCGAGACAAATCCTGAACCCCACAGACAGCACGCAGGGAAAGCCAGGAGCCTCACCAAGGCAATGCCCTGCAGCCCCACAGGCTGTACAAGACTGACCCAAAGCAAATACCTACCACAGGGTATTTGAAATCCCTTTCTGCTCCTGGACAATAGGCGGCAATAGGCAAATTTATATATATATACATACCTATATATACTTATAATCCTTATGCAGGATAATTTAAAACATGTCTGAAAAACAACCAGAAAAAGGTCAACTGTTGTCTCACACCTGCCACCAGCATCTACAAACTAGGCTTGGTATTTTGTTTAACAAAGACAAGACTGCACAACAGCAATCCAGTATTGAAGGAAAGGATGCTGCCATCCCTTTGGAGGTGCCATGCTGTACTTCCCAGCCAGTATCCCACAAGAAGAGAAGACTCTCTCTCAGCAAGAAGTTATTTTTTCTTGTTAACTGTATAACTATTCACAAAAAAGAGCCTACAAGCTCACTTAAGAAAGAACACACTCTATGGGACAGTCTTCTAGACTCTGAGGTCCAGCCTACCTCACTTAGGCAGTTGGCTTAGACCTATGCTTTACTGCCTGCTGAAGCAGTCTTTCTATGCATGTCCCTACGCTGCCCGGTTATTCAGCAGAACAGTAGGTGCCTTTCCACATCCTCAGAGGAAATTCCTGTCTGCTAAGTTTAGACGCTGAAATTGAGCACACAGGATCTCCCTTTGGAAGGCTTCAAAGGCACTTTCCTCTCTGCAGCAAGGGTACATAGAATGTGGGCTGTTATTATCAGTGGACTGCTTTGTCAAAGTCTAATATTAAGGTACACGTTAGATGCCTAAATTAAGAATAGAGCCCGGCTGTAAGGCACTATATTATAGACCAAGAAAGAAATGTACTGAGTGGAGTCGGTTTAATGTGCTAACGTCTCTTTTCAGCTCAGCAGCTGTATGTGTCGTGTCTGTGACTGAGAATGAAGTAAAAAAGAAGACAAATTGCAGATCACAGTCAAATTAGATTTTCCTAATGGGGCTTTTGAAATAAACTAACAGATTACTGTTTAAATAAAACCTGTAACAACGATGAGTTGATGTTATATTATTAAATTTCTTAATTTAATTCTTAAGCTCCAGAGCCAGCCAAGTAATATTCAACACATTTTACCTTCACAAACTGTGGAATGCATTGTGGAAAAGCTAAAAAACCTTTTCATGGTTTGACCAATTCTCTAAGTGTCCAAGCAATATCAATCACAGAGAACAGTATCTGCCTGCTAGTCATATGTTAGAAGTATTTGCTAGCACCCCATGCTTCCTCTTTTCATTAATTAGACAGAACCATTTAGTGCAAAATCATGATGGTCGTTTTACTTTTCTGGCTTATTATGTGTGCTATAAACTGAGAAAAAAAATACTTAGCACTTCAGGGCCTGGTGTTGTAACTAGCGAATTCAAAATATGTGTGAGGCCTGTCTATCAAGCAATAGTGTCACTGGTGAAGAAACCTTCCCTTCCTTTATCACTGTCAGAAGGGGAGCATGCTAATTACAGTGAGAGCCAATGCCTTGCCTTGCCTACAGAGAACTCCCTCTCTGCTTAAGGGGAATATAGGTTTGAGGTTACTCTGCTTGACTAGAAAATGAATTAGTGGAAGTCTGGTGAAAACCCAAAAAAAGTAGTTCCCCCTCAAACACGGCTTGGATTCCTCTAAGCAAACAGGACATTGCTTTGGAAATGTCAGCGCTTTTGGCTACTGATGGCCAGGAAAACAAAGCAAAACTAAGTACTTTTAGATAAGACATTTAAAATGCATCTATAATAAATTACCTAATAACAATGTCTAATGGCCTTTATTATATCTGTTTCTATTTAATAACATCCAGAATGCCCGTATTTTGAAAGTCTCAGATAAAGTAATGTGTTTTGTGGGTCTAGCACAGGCTTCAGTGCCTGGAGGCTCTAGTTCTATTTCCAGCTCTGCTTCAGACCTACAGGGTGACCTTTACGCATAACCTCATTTTCCTCACCTATAAAATGGGGATATTAATACTTATTTACCTCACATTTGGTTCCCTTCCAGCTGCTACAGTGACTGAGCAAGCTCATGCATCTACAGAATTGCTAATGTTCATGATGATAAACTTTTTCTTTTTTTTTAAACAAGCAATACAGACATTACATTAAGAAATTATTTGTCCATCCAGTGAGTAAAAGTACACAGAAAAATAATAGTAATGGAAAAACTGTTCAAAGCCTTTCAATGTCCTTTCAATGACACTGTCCATCAGGAGAAATGTAGGTAGTTCCTATTTGACAGCAACTAGAAGAAACTTCTTGATGCTGCTTTCAGTCAAGAAAAAAATTTCATGTTTTTTGAGTGAAAGTCTAACCTGGTCTCTCTTTGGATATAAAAACACTGCAAGCTTTGCAAGTAAATAAAGGGGAAGAAACAATTTCAGTGTGAAACTTTACCTAATAATGAGGATGGAGAGAAAGAAAGGAAAAGAGAATCAGAGAGAGATGAGAGATACAGCCATCTCTTCCTAAAGGGAACAAAGCTACACAGAAGAGATGCTGGCAGGTATGCCGGCCCGCAGCTGGGGGGACACCCTTGCGGCGCCGCCAAGGGCCGGTGCCTCCATTGGCCAGGGAGCACCTCGGCAACACTCATCTTGCTCTGGGAATGTGATACTTACTCTTGTACTGCTCTGGCTATGGAGAGCGCTGTAGATCCAGTTTCATTAACGCTATCTAAGGTCACATTTGGCAGGTCGTCATCATCACTGTCACTTTTAATTTGTCTGGGAGATAGGCCTCGGGGGTCCATTTGTGCTGGAAAGAGACATATAATGGATTAATATGAGCGTGCTGAAATTAATCTCGTCCCAGAACAACGTCAGGGTGCACAACACATCCACTCGCTCAAGCTGGATGGCACCGCTTGTGCTGAGCTTCCCAAATCAGGTGATGGATTCTCAAAGACATCTAGCGGTGCTACAGCTAGGCGCAAGCATTTCCAGCGGCATGCAGGTGTGCGAACACACACAGACTACACCAACGCGTTCGGCAGACCTGAAATAAAACTGCACACATAAGATTTGTCAAAAACTCAGTTTACCCTCAAGTTACTTATTCTGGATGTCTTCAGAAAGCAAAGAGAAAGGACTATGTCCGCTTTGCACAACACAGCACACTCGAGACTAAATTTTACAGCAAAATTTTAGGACCAATCTTTGACTTCGGCTGTCCATTATGAGATACCAGGCTGGGACCCATGTCACTCCAGTTAACTAAAAGTTAGGTGTCAAAAAACCCTCAGTTGTACTGATTTCAGACTCAATTCAACACCAGCGTCAACCTGGGAAGGAGCCTTCCCTCCACATTACACGTGGCAAAGCTGCTGCGTCTAACTTCACACAGGCAACTAACTTTCTGGTGACTGACGTCAGGTAGGCTTAGGCAGATTTTTTTGAAAACTCACATAGTCTCAGGTCTTACGAACAGGCGAAGATCAGAAATTGCAGGATTGTTTTGTCCATCCACAGCTTACAGTATCCATACTGTATGGCAATGCACCGGGTGCAGGTGCCCAGGTGCTGGCAGGGGTGCCCAGGTGGTGGTGCTGCAGGGCCGGCCTCTGTGAGGAGAGGCGGGGGCTGCCCCGCGCCCCGCACCAGCCGGTTCCAGCCAGCTCCAACCGACCCACCACAGGCCACAGGTACAGGGAACTGAGCCCCTCAGCCACGATGGTGGTGTCTCAGGGAAAACAGGTTTTAAGAAAGGGCAAAAAAATGCCACACAGGCAGAGCGAGGAAGAAAGTGTGAAAAACAGCCCTGCAGACACCAAGGTGAGAGACGAAGGAGGGGAGGACATGCTGCTCTATGGTGGAGCAGAGATTCTCCTTCACCTGAAGAGGGAATTCCCCTTCACCGTGAAGAGACCATGGTGGAGCAGGGGAACAGCACGAGGAGGAAGGAACAGCAGAGACGAGCTGTTATGGACTGACCACAGTTCCCATTCCCCATCCCCCTGAATGAAAGAGTGAAGTTGAGCCTGGGAAAAAGGGGCCGGGGGGGTGGTTCTTACCATCCTAATCTACTTATAATTGGCAATAAATTAAATTAATTTTCCCCAAGTCAAGTCTGTTTTGCCTGTGACAGTAACTGGTGAGTGATCTCTCTGACTTTATCTTAATCCATGAGCTCTTCCACCTTATTTTCTCCCCCATCCCACTGAGGAGAGAGATTGTGAGAGCAGCTGGGTGGGCATCTGGCAGCCAGCCAAGATCAACACACCAGAGTTATGTTTTGTGCCAAAAAGAGATGGGAAAGGAAAGGGGAGCAGAAAGGTAGGCTACCTGCCTTCCCTCTTCTCCTGGCTGCTGCCCTCCAAAGGGAAGTAAGCACAGCCCACACATGGGCAGGGGGAGGAAACCAAGAGACGGGTGTGAGGGGGACTACGGGGCACAAGTGTGACCTGGGATAATCCTGAGAGGAACGGGGGGTTGCTTGTGTCAGGGGACAGACCCAGAGACAAACTTCAGAGGTGATGTAAAGAAAGAGACATTCTTCCTCAAGCATGAAATACCACGTAGGATTAGTAAGTGCTGAGAGGCACTGAAAGCAGCTGGAGTAGAGAGCAAAACTGGAGAGACGCCTGACCCTGCAAGGGAGGAGCAGGAAGGGGAAGACAGGCAAAGAGATTTGTTTAGAAATGTGTTTGTTTTGTTTGGCCAGGTGAAATAGGGGAATCCGAGATTATTTATTTAAAAAGCTAACTGTTGAGTTTGTTAGCTTGTGCTCTCCTGTATTGCAGTCCAGAGATAGGACACTTTCTGGGTCTTGCGACGTGCTTTTCAAGAAAGGTAGCTGTCATTCCTACTCAGCTCTGGCTAACCGCAGCCCTGGACAACAGGTATCACAGGCTCCCTTTAGAGATCATGAACAGTTCAGCGGGCCTACGGCTAGACATCCGCTCCAAAAGTCACAGTTAAATTTCCCATTTTGCCATGTTTCTTATGTTACCATGTTCCCTGACTCTAGAAAAGGGACTGAGTCACACTGAAGAATGGGAGGGCTGTAGATACTCCAGGAGCTGTGCAGCCATAAAAGTAGCACTGATGGATAGCTGGGCTCTCGAAAAGAAAGCCCTCCCCAAATGAGTGATGACTCGAGGGAAAGTTGGTCTTAAATTTTAATTTATGTCTTAGCTGTGAACCACCTCTGAGTAAAAGAACAGTGAGTGATTATGACTACCCTTCAGCTGCATTTTTTTTGATGTTAAAGAACTTCGTAAAGAAAATACTATTAAAATATATTCAGTAAGCTGACGCAACAGCCCCTTCTGGAAGCACAGTGCATTTACAGATGCACAGTGTGCCTTCCATTAGCTTTCTACTAGCACAGTTTAGGTGCCTCGGTAATACTGGCTACATCTGCACTGCTTATTATTTCTTCATGTGTGGTAAAGAAAACACCTTTTGCTTATCAAAGCAAGGACTGTTGACAATGAACAATGACCTGCATGATACAAACGTACAGCAACTTAGAAATTGTCCAAAACATTTAATTGTTTTAGGTAGAATGAGCACCATTCTGACTGTGCTTCCTAAAATCATGACTTACACATGATGGTATTCAATGCGTAGCTAAACATTAGGGATAATCTAGTATTTGATTTAAGAGCAACTGAACTATCTAGTCAGCTGATTCAGCCCCAGAAAACTATTTGGAAAGAAGTGCTATTTCTGAGGATGTCTTGTTCCCTAATGTTCCTTCTTAAAAGCAACTTTAAGGATGAAATCATTATTACTTATTTCATGACTTCTTCAGTTTTTCTTAAAGTGAATCTCGTTGCAAGAAGTTGTATGTTTGTATCTGCCCAATATTTAAATGCTGCTATATGTGATGATTTTGTGAAAGCTAATGTTTGTAAATAAAATTAAAATTGTAACAAAAAAACTATGTATGCGATACTTTGTATTAACGGTGGCTTAACTGGACTTAAACTACAGCAAAAGTTTTAAGTAGCTAGTGCAGAAACTTTCTTAATGTTTAAACCTAAGCCTAACTTCAAATCACAAAAGTTGTTACATAATTTAGTCTGTAATACAGTTATTATACACAAATTTTGATCACTTAAGTGTGAATACACATACATAAAAAGAGACAGTATAAATGTATATGAAAAATCTTACGTACTTTTGTTCCTTATGAGACACCCTGTTTCATTATTATTGCAGATCGCCAGCTTTTAAGATATTATCAAGACATTTGGTGTTGGTTTTAGATTGCCAGAGGAATGTGCTAGGATGAAAACTCTCAATTACATTAAAACGCTACCTTCTTTTTGTTTCTACTCGGTGAGCTAAATCCTACTCTGTATACTCCTAACATAGTCATGAAGTTGTCAAATGGGGTTGTGCTTTTGCACCTAGGGATAATTTGGCCCACTGGGCACGGTTTGCTCCACCAGACGCCAATGTTTGAGCACATCACAAGGTGCTATTACACTTGAGCATGGTGAGAACAAAAGGCGAGGAACTGAAATGTATCAGTGGGCAAATTCAAAGGCAGGCAATTCAAAGACATTTTTTGTTGTATTTTTGCAGTGAACCTAACTAAAGACGATAATTAAATTAGAGAATGATCTAGGGATTATTCCCTTATTTTTTAATGTCAGCCCACATATACACCCTTTTTTGTCCCCTCCTCCATTTGCGACCTCTTCTCAGCTTGCAGACTTGGGTGGCTGAGGCGCTGGGGAGCCGAGGTGACTAACCAGAAGGCTGAACTTCGCCGCTGCCAGCTGGTGTAAACTGCCCTGTTTTCTCATCAGCATGGCTGCAGCTGCTGCAGGGAAAACAGCCTTTAAAGCCATTCTCCTCCCCCAAATGAGCAATGTGAATAACCAACTGGCCAAAAGCCTAACAGATATCTCCTCCTCACCACTCGCTACAGTGTGCAAACTGCATAGAGGATTTTTATACATTCAGAGTTCATGACTCCTACTTATGTCAACAGCTTTGACTTTCTCTTGGACATCTAAGAACAACTGTCGAACTGCTGGCACCAAGGTTTATAAATACCAGCGGCAGTTCATCAACACTGAATTAAGAGTAATTATTGGCCTAACGAACATCAAACTGGAAAGAATGAAGAGATGCAGGCAAGAGATAATTTAGCAAATGAGATGAAAAAGGTGGAGGACAAGTGAGTAATGGAATGTAATTGGCAAGCAAGGTGGAGGAGAGTCCACAAAACATGCCAGTGCATTTTAACCTCCCTTTGTGCTGTACCTTGCTCTGATGACCAAGCTTTTCCTTGAACTTAGGACCACAGGTCCGGAAAGGACCCGGCTGGGTCACTGAATTGAGTCCTCCCTATCACAGGCAGACACATTTCATTAATAAAGCTCAAGCCTTAAAAATGAGCTGGTTTTCTTGCCCTTGCTACTCCTCTTGAAAGGCAAGATTTGTCTGACACAGCTATCCGGTGGTTTTGTGAAGTGTGAATGAGGCTAAGGCGAGGCAAGCAAAAAGAAACGAGTCAGAGACTGCTTTCGTGGGACAAAGGTGTCATTGAAAGAGTGCACAGGAGCTACAGAAGCAAGCTGTTAGCACTCCATGCTGAAAAGACTGGCAAGCCAGGGGAGTTATTTAAGAACGCCTGCAAGCGCTGAAGGCTGCAAGCGGCCACGTCGCTTTCCATCCTTGTTAGCCTCAAGAAACAATGATCCTTTTTGCTAAAGAAAGTACAGAGAATTGCTCTTGATGCATGTACATATATGCAGTCACTTCTCAATGGCCCCTTTGCCAAACTGTACCAAAAAG